ACATTGAATGACTCGAGCGTGTCCAGAGAAGGGCAACGGAGCTGGTGCAGGGTCTGGAGCACAGGTCGTACGGGGAGCGGCTGAGGGAACTGGGGGGGTTTAGTCTGGAGAAGAGGAGGCTGAGGGGAGACCTCATCGCCCTCTACAGCTCCCTGAAAGGAGGGTGCAGAGAGCTGGGGATGAGTCTCTTTAACCGAGTAACAAGTGATAGGACAAGAGGGAATGGCCTCAAGTTGCACCAGGAGAGGTTTAGACTAGATATTAGGAGGCATTTCTTTACAGAACAGGTTGTTAGGTGTTGGAATGGGCTGCCCAGGGAGGTGGTGGAGTCCCCATCCCTGGAGGTGTTTAAGAATTGGGTCGACATAGAGCTGAGGGATGTGGTGTAGTTGGGAACAGTCAGTGTTAGGTTAATGGTTGGACTGGGTGATCTTCAAGGTCCTTTCCATCCTACATGATTCTGTGATTCTGAAAAAAAAAAAAAAGCACTAGGAGGTATCGAGTACTCTCAGGTTTTTTGCCGTTGCCCCTCTCCATACCAGCACTCATGGTCCTTCCCCCCTCTGGCACAGCACCCGGCAGGCACCTGGCATGTGCGCAGGCTTCAGTCCTGCCGCAAGTGCACGAGCTCGGGAGTAGGGCTGGGGCGTGCACGAGGACTGGGGTGCGCAGGGCGGCCTGCACTTTGCCCCAGGCTGGACTTTACTGCGGAGGTGCGAAGGGCGGCATGTGGTGGGCAGGTTTGTACCATTGATGGCAGCAGGCGGCCTCGCCCTGGGGCAACCCGTGCCTCTGGGAGCCATACAGGTGGGTGATGAGCCCGTGAGTGAAGCGGAGGGTGTTGGGGGAGGCTCAGAGCCTCCTGAGAGGGTACATGAGGCAGCAGGGCCGGGCTGCCGCAGTCTGTGAGGGCGGTGGGGGCAGCGTGGCGTGGCGTACACGAACTCAGGGCGAGATCCTGGTCTCACCAGAAGCCTTGTGTCAGAGAGGGGGCCAACTAACAGGCAGTGCAAGGGCGGCCTTGGGGAGGAAGAGTGTGGGGTTTGGTGGTGCTTAGGGGAATTGTAGCCTTGAGAGTGTGGATTTGTTGGCCTGAGGAGTGGGAGAGGCTCACCTTAAAGGTGTTGAGGCTTGTCTTAGTCTAATTTGCTGTGAGTGCTTCACGCAGGTCAGGTGCAAAGGAGACTATAGGAGTGCCTGAGGGGCTAGATTGGGAGCCTTGTTCTGGAGCATGGACGGTTGTGCTAGGTTTTTTTGATGTGCAGGTGGTTCAGGGGTAAAAATGTGCATGAGCTTTGTTAGTTCATCAGTCTTGGTACTGGAGTTCATAGAGCTGCTGGAAGGGACCTGTCAGGGTGTGGCAGTAGCTACATTCTCATCCTGAAGCAGTAGATACCTTTGCTAAGTTTCCATTTGCTGTGAGAGCAAAGGTACTCATCAGCCAAGTAAGAGGTTGTTGAGATTCAGGCCATTTTGTAGCCTTGTGAGAAGAGACCATTTGGGGCAGGGGGAGCCTGGCAAGCTTTCAGTTGCTGTGAGGCCAGTGTGGGTGACAGGAGCTTGTGGTGGCAACAGTGCTTATGAACTAAGTGTGAGGTCAGGGGAGAGATGGAACTTTTCATGGGCTCATAGCCTTGAGAGAAGGGATCTGTTGGTGAAGGGGTTGTGAGAACCTCACCCCAGACTGGTTTTTGATTTTGCTGAGCCTTAATTTGTTATGAGGGCTACATATGAGATACTGGTGTGTGGTGGTGCTCATGAGCTATATCTGGGGCATCTGAGGTGTGTGCTCAGGTGGCCTCATTCTCTAGAGAAAAGGTATCTGGTGGTATGTGTGGTGAAACAGTTTTTCCATGAAGTGGCTGACATCTTTGGGCTTCAGTTTACTCTCAGAGTGTTGTGTCGGAACTCACAAGCTATGCATGGGGTGGTTGGGGGCAGCAGGAGTTCAGATGGGCTTGCATCTTTGCAAGAAGAGACCTGTGTTTGGGAGGACAAGAGAACTGGGGACACTTCCCCTCAGAGCAGTGGACACATGCTGTACTCCTTTGTTGTCAGGGCAGTGTGGAGGGCACTGGCATGTGGCAGCATTCATGAAGTGACAATGGAGGTGAGGAGGGTTCCGGAGAGTTTGCAAACCTTGCAGGTAGGTACCTGCAGTGTGTCCCTTGGCTCATGGAGGGAAATGTTGCATGCAGGGGCAAATAGCTGTACCATATGTTAACTTACTGTGAGGGCAGTGCAGGTGGAAGCAGAGTTGCAGTGGTTATTCACAAGCTGATTGGCTCATGGTGCGATTTTTGGGTGAGTTTGTAGTGTTGCAAGAAAGGGCCTGCTGGTGGAGAAGTAGATCTGTTAGGGAGGCTGATTCTGGAAGGGCAGATGCTTGTGCTGGATTTCTGTTTGCAGTGAGGACACAGGCAGCAGGCAGGTCTGTGATGCTTGTGAGCCAAGTGAAGGACAGCTTATAGCAATCCAGGTGGGCTCACAGTCCGAAGAGATGAGCAGCAGATTCTATATAATTAGTTACAGGTCAGCAAGCAGATAACTATGTTGTTGTGTATGTCCGCTTAGATTTTTTTTTTAATATATATTACTATTAATATGTACGTATTATCTGCACCACGGAAAATATTTCTCTGGATGTCATTATTATTAAATATGTATGTTATACTGCAAAATTTCCCCAGAACCCATGAAGAATTAAAAACCTAAAGAACAGCATTAAAAATAAACTATTCCCAAGTGGGAATGGAAGTAATTTGCCCTTGGAGTATATAAAGATTTTATGTTTTCTACAGCACTGCATACTTTTATCAATAAAACATTGCAATACCAAACATCAGAGACCTGTAAATAGTTAAGGCTGCTGTAAAAAAAAAGAAAAAGCAAAAGAAATGCTATAGATATATCCTACCACAAATCTTTTTGTTTTGACTGAAATATTTATGTAAATATTTAAATTGCTTTAGTAAATAAGCCATAACAGTAACTTCAGCATGATCAAAAAATCTTTTCCATTCTAAACAGTTTTAAAAAAAAAAAAAAAAAAAAGAAAACCCAAAATTATATATTTTCATTAACAGAGAAATACAATCTTTGAGTCTCTTGTTAAAATCCTATATTTTTGCAGTAAATGGTAATTTTGGAGAAATTAGCATTGCTCTGTCAGCTTTTTTTCCTCTGGTAGATATGGTTGCTAACCTAGTCTTAATTGGGCAAAGTTTTTAATGTTCTAATGAAAAATTTTTCATGTCCCTGTGTGTAAAATAATTACTGTAATTTGTAGTTTTAAGGAAGAAATTCAGTTTTTGTCAGAATGAAAGTAATGGTTTTATGTACAGTGTAGGTAAAACAGAAGTTCAGTACCATGTTACCACTAGCTAGATGAATGTGTTTTCTTTATTTCCTAAAATCAGAGTTTATAAATTGAAAGCATTTTATCCCTCATTCTAATAACATCGGCAGATCTTTATCTGAAGAATGATCTACAACCAGAATTCAAAAGATCATCTTCAGGTTTTTTACTGTTGGGTAGGACACTGCAGGTGTCATGTACATGCAAAAATATGAAAAAAAACCCAGAGTTTAATAGCAAAGTTAGTATTTTTTTAATTATTCAGTGACCTTTCTCCTATGTGTTGTGCCAACCTAAGTCCTATAAACTTCAGTCTTAGAAATGGTGTTAAGCTGATGTGTTGACTTTTGTGATACCTTTTGGAGACAAATTTCTTCCCTTGTTTATTATTCCTGGGGAGCCTAAGACTAACATTTTTCATGGCTGTATTCATGCAGCTCTGCCTCTAAGAGGGTGTTCATGGATAAATTTGAGGTCAGATTTCTGAGTATTCACAATGTCTACTGACAGGACCACCCTTGAGGATATGTTGGTCAGATGTCTCTTGGTATATCAGGGCTATGTTTGTCTTTCACAGTCACTGTAGACAACTTCTAGGACAGCTACTGTTTGTAGTGTCCCAAGTCCACCTGCACTTTGCTCAATTGTGGCGTTATGTCATGGGCTGGAAATGAGCAAGCACAGAAAAAAACTCCGTTAAGTCAACTGGTCATTAAGCCTAATTAATGAGAGACCATGGGTCAAGAAATAAGAGATGAGGCAATTGGTCACCAGTGCAAAAGTAGCATCTCCGCTCTGTGCAAACAAAAGAGGAGTCCAGAAGAACAGACGTATTTTTTTTTCGGAGAGTTATTGCTTGAGAGGAGGTAGGGGGTTGTGGTATGAGCCAGCCAGTAAAGTGGCTTAATTCACAGAATCACAGAATCACCTAGGTTGGAAAGGACCCTGGTGATCATCTAGTCCAACCGTTCGCCTAGCACAGTTCCCACCTACAGCATATCCTTAAACTCTAAATTGACCCTACTCTTGAACACCTCCAGGGATGGGGACTCCACCACCTCCCTGGGCAACCCATTCCAATGACTAACAACCCGTTCTGTAAAGAAATGCTTCCTAATATCTAGTCTGAACTTTCCCTGGCGCAACTTGAGGCCATTCCCTCTTGTCATGTCGCTTTCTACTAGGCTAAAGAGGCTCAAACCCAGCTCTCTGCACCCTCCTTTCAGGGAGCTGTAGAGGGCGATGAGGTCT